TTTTGATTACTTTGAGATTTTTTTAAAAACAAGAGCCCTTGCTTCGCACTTGCGACCACTCGGCCAACGAGGCAATCTCTATAATTTGAACTTCATATTAATTTCTCTTTGAAAATCTTAGCAAGTGAACTTGAATAGTTTCCAACGTTAAGTACGTATAACGAAGTTTCCAAGTAAATCTTCATTATTAATGATCGCCCTATCTTTTCTACAAAATCGACGTAAGAATCCAATTAAATTCCTTTTAAAATATTACTATCATGTAGTCAATAAATTCAAGTATTCAAAGAGATTAAAATTAAGACTTGGAAAATCAAATTATTCAAAGTTAATTAATTTTAAGATTGCTCATTACAGTTTAAAATGAGTATGTTTAACCTTCCAACATCTTGGCGATGAGGTTGATCGATTAGTAAATAATGTCTCATTTTTTTTTTATTATTGCCTCGTTGGCCGAGTGGTTGCAAATGCGACTACACGATTGCAAGGGGTTTCAGGTTCGATTCCCGGGTCGGGCAAAGTATTACTGGGTTTTAAAAAAATTCTTAGTAGTAGCACGAAGTCTGGAATTGTGCCCGGTATATGGCAATAGGCTCACCCCCTATTACATGAGACTCATAACATAAATAGTGAAAAAGTGGGTGTTACATTGTACAGTGGCATTAAGTGCCGTAATGTGCACCTCTGCTTACCCTTCGAGGTTAAAAATGCGTGTTGTTATTTGGAAAATAAAATTAATCAAAGTTAATAATACTTTTAAGTTTGCTCATTATATTTTTAAATGGATATTATTGACCACCCTAGCATATTGGCGATGAAATTGATCGATTATTGAATAATATCCCTGGTTTTTTTCATTGCAATACTCACTATGACCTAATATGAAAAAGCCTTGATTTTTGCACAGACAAAACCGTGTGCACAGTCAATCAGTACAACACTGTTTAGTATACAGACAAGAAAATAAAGATTGATTGAGTATAGTACATGTACTATTATGAAAGTCTAATATTTATTTATGTGAAGGTACTGTAACACCCTATTATTATAATTATGGTAACGAAGGACAGGTTGTAATTATCTACCGCTTATCATAAAATAAATATTAAATACTATCATATGAATGGGTACGTGTAGCAAAGGACAGAAACAAGTGGAAATCTTTAGAGGAGGCCTTTGTCGAAAGACAAGCTGTTGTAAGAGGAGAGAAACCGATTGCTGAGATAATGTTAGAGTAGTTTTTAAATGTGTTTATTTAACTCTGTTACAACTGTAATTTTTGTTATTGTAACTACAGCAAGGCTTATTTTATTTTTATTTTATTTACTACCATATGTGCATAAAGAACATTGTCTTTGGGCATTTTACGTTACGACAACAATGAGAATTTCTTCTATGATTTTTGGTCATTGGGTTGGGATCGTTTTATTGTTTAGTTCTTATTTATTCTTAACACGTTAAACGCCATGGGGGTCACCGGTGACCGACGTTAGCGGAGGATTTACTTTCAACAGTTTTTTGTTGGCAGTCAAAGTCTTATATTTTTTTTAATTTGATATACAAATATTATAAATGCGAAAGTTTGTGTGTTTGTTTGTTACTCCTTCAGGTCAAAATATCGAATGGATGGCACAGGGATTTTTTTTAAGGGGGAAAATCATCGAATGACTGCTCCCGCCTGGGTGAGGCGGGAGGGAGTGTCAGACTCTTACTGACTAAAAACCACCCCGTTCCTTCTCCTGCACGTCGAGCCGGAGCTCCGGTTACCCGTTAAGTTCTTTGCAACATGGCACAGGGATAGATTGTGGTCTGAAACATTACGTAGGCCACTTTTTATCTCACGGGAACGCGGGCGAAGCCGCTGGCAGAAGCTAGTGTTAGCAAAATGCAAAAGCATATGAAACTAATCACATCACAAAGTATAAATGCGCATTTTTGTGAGGATGTATGTGTGTGTCTGTTACTCTTTCACGTCAAAACGGCTGAAGGAATCGAGATGAAATTTGGAACAAGAGTTGGTTATGTTCTGGAATAGCACATAGGCCACTTATTATCTCATGGTAACGCGGGCGAAGCCGCTGGTAGAAGCTAGTGGAATATAAATATGTAATATTTGTTTAGAAAAATTGAATATTCTCAGGTATTTGTCATGTAGAAACTCTATAAATTTATATTAAAACATTCTGTCCGTCTTTAAAGCAAGGGTTTACGTTAATATTAACTACATTTTTGTATCTTATTAAATATTTAATTTTATAAGCAGAGCACTGTGTTGCCAGCGCTAAAAATTCAGGTTAGTAATACAGATTTGCATTATGCATAATATAAAATCTAGAGTGAACCTCTTTAGTGTTGCTATATCCACTTAAGATTTAATCCTTTGCTAATAAAATGTATAAAGGCCGATTTTTCAATCATCAGTTAATTCTTAACTGTAGAATAATTTTGACTTTTGACAGCTATTAGTATGAAAGCATTGTCAAATTTTCAAAGTTATTCTTCAGTTAGAATTTATCTGACGTTGAAGAAATCGGCCCTAAGATAATAAATAAGTGTGCAAAAAATATTGCTTTTTTTTTTCTTTTGGGTTACTAATAAGCTACATAAAAAGTTAAGCCTATTTTCAAATCAGATGCCTAATAATAAATTGTTCTTATGACTGCATTGATTTCTATAGAGAAAACTCTGGCCAGTAATAAATATAGCCGCAGTTAATGGAACTCGGCCAAAAAGGTTGCATTTGCGAAAAATTACAAAATAAATGAGAATATCTCTTTTATACCCATTACGTAGTCATATAAACACTCGGAAAACTCCAACCTCTTTTTAAATCAAACTAAAATAAATATTCATACTCACGTATTAGGCACATTCCTCATAGCTTTATGTCGAACGAATACGGCCACTAGGGTCCCATTTCCGACCACCCCAATGACGAATATAAGTGCGAATATTAACGGTACTATGTACGTCTCTGGCCTCTCATAGTACGGTTGGTAGTAACTCTCTGACTGATTCAACATGTCGTCCATTGATTCGTAAGTCACGTTGTAATCCTCCATTGTGCATATTATCTGGAACAAGAGAAAAGAAAAATACTTAAATAATGGTTTACTCACATGCTATTATAAAAACTAGAGTAGTTTGTAAAATGCATACTAAATGTAATATTTAACAACCAGATATAAGTAATATTTATTGTAAAATTTCATGTTAGCTTGTTACAATCCAACTGCTGAGAAAAGGTCTCTTCTCACACGTCTTCGTCATCCCCGTAGGGGTAGACAGAGGTGCACATTTCGGCACTTAATGCCACTGTACAATGTAAAACCCACTTTTCACTATTAATGTTATGAGTCCCATGTAATAGGGGGTGAGCCTATTGCCATATATCGGACACAATTCCTGACTACTCCGTGCTACTACTGAGAACTTTTGAAAACCCAGTAATACTTTGCCCGACCCGGGAATCGAACCCGAGACCCCTTGCCCGGCAGTCGCACTTGCTACCACTCGGCCAACGAGGCAGTCATAATTATTTTAATCAGCCAGTCAGCAGTCAGCCAGTCAGCAACCAATCAGCTATTATGTAAACAGCATCAATTACAACTCTTTGTAATAACTGTCATGGCTCAGAGAGCTATTCAGTTTTAAAAGATTCAGCAATACGGTTAATACAGCGTGTACTGCCTGGTGACATCATGACACTTCAACCGTGACTATTGGACCCTAAATTGACAAATACTGGGCCTTTAATTTATTATTTTTGTCTCAAAATGCTGATAAAGTATTGCTTGAAATATTGTCATTTTGTACAAATTAATTGTCGTTTCGTTAAAATGTTGTGAGATTGCATAAAATATTGCTGTGTGATGGTAACAAAACAGACTGTATTTATATCTTCGTTTTGTACTGTGAAATTATTGAAGTACAATTAGTTATTTCTGAATGTCTGAACAAGTATCATGTATATTGAAATATGAACGTTATTATACATTTTTTTAAAGCTTAAATCTAATTTATTAGTCAGAATCTCTCCCACACGCCACCAAAAGATTAACAAGGCTAACTTCCTTATACTTACAAAACACAGAAAATTAATTATATCTATATGCTAATGTGATTAAAACTTTTCATATTATTAGAACAAACAAAAGAAGTACCTAAAACTGAAATCCAAACGAAACCTCGATACTAGCGTAGGCAGTACATTTACTGAGAGATTCTGCTAAAAAAGCATGTACTATTAACGCCCACAGAGGTCGTAAAGTTAAAGGTTAATTTTACCCTGTTCACCCACTCGGCGTTGATAGGTATCTTTTCAATAAAACCGACATATTGTGTCTTGACGACGTGACAAAATTGTATTTAAGCACCTACCGTTATTTATTACAGCGTGTCGCAGTATGTTATTTAACGAAGTCTATGTTCTTAATAAAGATTAAATTGTAATTCACGTTTTTAGTTTAGAAAATTGAAATGTAGAGGTAGATACCGCTCTTTAATAACAGCTTTTAGAATATGTGTTTTATATTTTCTAACTGGCTAAAAAGTATGAATTTGAATTGAAGGTCACTCATTTATTGTCGACTAGGTACTTATGTTACGCATTCAAATATAGTGCTCGTAAATGGTCCAGTGACATACATAAAACAAATGTCGGATTACACGTACTGATATTGATAACTGCGTAATCTAAGTAGCAATAAACATACGTTGTTACCTTTTATATAGGATCTACTACAAACATCGTAAAAAGCAAACAGGCCAAGGATTTCTTTAACAATACGCATTGTGAGGAAACATTCGTTCACCATACCGTAGTGATTTATACGATACATAATAGACCAATTCTTTATATAAAAAGTCACTTTCCATTATTCCTCGCCTTCATTATATAAGTTGGCGCCGTTTGGGACGCCAGGGAGTAATCTACGCCAACAATAGAAGATCAACATCGGAACGACACCATAAAAGTTCAATCCTTGTGGGAATCGAGTGATTTGCAATCGATTTGTATCGAATGACGTGAAACATTGATGCATTCGGTTCTCGATTTGTGGTTTATTCGAATGCTTGGCGATCCAATTTTTAGAGGTTAGTTTTATTGGTGGAATTTGTCAATGGGACTTGTGAAAGTTGTGGGTTATTTTCGAAAGGTCTTTATTGTTAGATTTATATAAATATAATGAGTATCATAAATGTACTTAGTTTGTATTTAGGTGGCGCTGTTAGGGGCGAAAAACACCTTTTTGATTTCAGTAACCCTATAATTGATAGTACCGTAAATAATTTACCCTCTAGAAAAAAGGTTAAAAGTATTCAGCTGGATTCAAGTTCAAGGCTAACCAAGATCACGTAACACATGCATGTTTAACGTAGCTTTCGTCTTTTTATTTCGCGCTCATTTTTGTTGTTCAACCGGCAAAATGGCATCTACTTACGGCGAAAATTTTCGCAATGAGCATAACCATTCTCGAGTCGTGAACTTCCAAATACGTTTCGTTTTATGGAAGAGAACTTCCATCCCAATTACCAAGAGGCGTAGCGTTAAATAAGAAAAATGGAAGAAACGTACTTTTATCACTCAATTATGTGAAAGTTGATGTTTTCCCGCCAGATTTTATACTTTTTAAGTGAACACAATTTGTTTCGTGGGTCGGAGGAAATTGAGGCTTAAATGTACACTTGTCACCACAGATTATAAAACTAATTACGTTCTGTGCTTGACATGAAAGAAGAAAAAAAAGTGTCAAAGCTGGGTCGGGTTCACGGTCCGACGGCTTGTTACTTTTTAAGAGTTTCGTGACTGCGGCCCTACTTTTGTACCTTCAGACCTTTTTCGTGTCAATTTTAATTTTGTATTTTGTTTTTTTTGTTCCTTAATACATTGTTTGATGTCAATGTTAGAATGTAATATGTATTTTAAGTTGTGTTTATGAAATATTTGATTTTTCTTTTCTTTTATGTTGTTGGCGTGTTTTTATATGAAAATGACTTACACAGTTTTTTACTTAGCTCTAATGTTATCCGTGTTGTTGGTAGGTCGTAAATTGTGGTTGCGAGGTCTATGTAACCTCGACAATACCACTAATCCATCAAAATGAACACTAGGAAGAGTGGAGATTTAATAACATTCGATTTTTGCTGTTGAAATTTTTATAATAAGTATGAAAGTGTCAAATACTTACTTAAAATTTTATCACAATTTGGGTAGAACTACATTCAAATGATAACATTCAATCTCTATCACTAACGGCTTAAGTCTTCAATTCCAAATTCAAACCTTTAAGTAAATGTCATCTGAATGAAAAAAGAGGTCAGCCATTAATAATTCTTCATTTTACGTCGTAAACCTGTCAATCATTTAATATCGTGTCGAATATTTTAGCAGCGTTTAAGGGTTAAGTAAGCTTTTAAGAAAAAAACATTGCTATAACAGTTTTGTACTAGCTAGTATGGGGGTTTTAAAAGCCTTTGGTGGTTTACAATTTCCTTGTTTTAATGTAATAAAGAGAAGAATAATCCAATTCTAGCCACGTTAAATAATATTCAGCAATGGCTTATTAAAGAACCTTTGGTTCTGGTCGTAATTTTGGGTTGGACGTAACAATTTTTTTTACCTGTTAATATAAAAAAAAATTGTATCCAACGCAGAGATAATTGGACGAAATATGAAAGGGTATGAAGTTAGACAACTTCGATCAACAATAACAACTAGATATCGGGTTGGCGCAAGAAAATCGTCTCGACAAATAAGAGCTCACTTGAAAAGTGAGCTCTTATTTTGTTTAGTATGCTCCAAACACGGCCAACGTACTCACGTCTCGCGATGCCGCAGTGAGTAATTGCAAGTTGCAAAAATAATGACCGAAAAAGCAGTGTAACGCCCGGAGTGTCTTACTTTTGATAAGTACATAAAGTATAAGTTATATTTTAAGCTTTTTAACTAGTAAATAATATCAAATTAGATAAAATTACCAATTATCAACCAATGCCACCAATGTTTGTGCGTGTGTTGGCGATCCCTTGGCCAACCTCGCCAACACGCGCACAAACATTTGTTTAAACAGAACAGTGGATGCATGGAGTCCATTTGTATTGTGAAATAAAATTGTATTGTAACCTGATTGGAAAAGAGTATCTAACCTATGGAGTTTATTGCTCGTTCTTCTCCATAGGAATCTACACCTTATAATGAGAAAATAGCTTCACTTTTAAATTTATATTGTTGACGTTCAAAAGTGCCTTCCTGGTCTAACTGAAATAAATTATTTTGACTTAGACTTAGACTTTTAATGATAAAGTAAATAAACATGTCATACACAAAAACGTACCGATAATAAAAATAAGTGATGTATACTAAGATCCCGAAATCTTAATTTACATATTATAAAATTATTTTAGTGTCCAACGCGACTCCATACATACCTCCTATAGCGAAATTCGAAATTTGAAGAAGCAAAACGAAATAAAACAAAACGATATAGATCGCAAGACAATAATGGAAAAATTATCTTTATTTGTTCAAGCTTAAGGTTGAATTCAAACTAGATAATGTATAACTTATGTCTTTTAATTTCTACATGACAGGAGTAAAAAAATACTTTTCTCGTCTTATGTGACAAATGGTCGTAAGTATTAGATAATATTTTGACGATTTATGACTATATTATTAGGTGCCATGGTGGTTATTAGGTTGAACTTAAAACTATTTTAAAACATTTTTCTCTGTTTGTTATTTTTTACTATTATTATTAACGCGGACAGAACTGGAGCTTGATTTTGTACGTAACCCTTTATCTAGTTGTTATTGTTGATCGAAGTTAGACAATGAAAAAATATTAGACACTATTTTTTTATTTTGTCGTTTAAAAAAACAATACTTAGATAAAACAAATCAAAGTTTAGGAGTGGGAGGAAGCTACGTCATTTTAGAGTAGGTATAAATCGTACTCAAAAGTGACATCATGCGATATTTCAAATTAATACCTCTATATCTTCGAAACTATTCGTTTCCTTAAGAAAATAAAAATACGTGTCTAATATTTTTAAATCTAACGGACGGACATTA